TGAAATACTACCACTGGTCAGAGTCATACGCGAACAGTTTTCCAGATTTGCTAGTTTCTCAAAAAATTCATTTGCTTAATTAAACCTCAATATTTTCCAATGAAATTTTTCACACATCTAATACATCCTATAAACATCCAATTCAAGCCATTAGACCAGTAAAAATTGGCCGAACATGGCAGGGGCAAAATCGGAAATTTTTGCTTCTTACACCCAATGAAGTTTCTACTAATTACCCACCACTAATGCATCATTTTAACCACTAAACCAACAATATAACCACCATCAATCATCAAATCAGCAACAACAACCCAAGTGTGGGAATTCAAAGAGCCCACTAGCACATTTTTACACCATACACAAGCTAACAAAATGCATGCATGAACTTAACAAGGTAAGATAGCTTCCAAACTTCAAGTTTCCAAGAGTGGATCATCACTTACTTTGCTTTGGTGTTCAAGCAGAATTTTCGGCCCTCTATTGCCCCAGAAAAACCGTGATTTCCAGCCCTTGTTTGTAGCTCAAAATGCTCCTCAAGTATCAAGCTAGGTGTGGTGCAAGTTTGGTTGAATTTGGAGATGATTTGGGGTGGTTTTGAGTGAGATTTGTGAGCTGAAAATTTTGAAGTAATGGAGTTCGAGAGAGGAGGGTGTTGGTCGGCAATGAGGAGAGAGAAGAGGGAGTGTGATCTGATTTCTTTTAGCTTCCAAAGGAAGATACTAACTTGTGGCCACAAATCACCCATTAGTCAACTCTCATTAGGGGCCGTTTGGCGCGATTACGGCTCGATTTTCTCGCGCGTTTGGTTCACTAGTGCACTAAACCTCCAATGCATATATATTCATGTAAATATTCTTCACTCTTAATTGACCCGAAATAAGGGTCTAAAGTCCCTCAAATAAAGTTGCGCGTGTGAAAACGCGTACCGTCAATTTTAACGCTATAACGCGAAACTTCCGAGAATTTCTTCTAACGATTGCACTACTAACTATCACTTGAGTATTTATTCATGAGATTACCTATTTTAGGACCATAGTACAAGTCTCCAATATTCCAAGCTTATTGTGCTACTACGCGGATAAAATCTCCAAGCACTATTCACTATTTTTACTAAACGTACTCCAGGAAATTAATTCTTGAAACAAGTTACTTTAAAAATATAACGAAGCTATATTTCCACGTAATTAGGTTCAATAGGTCTAGAAAATAATACTCGGAATAAATGAACAAGTAAATAATTAAATAAGCTCAAATTGGGGTTTTAATAGGAGTTTTACGAGTCCTCACATGAGTCGAGTATTAACTTCTCAAATCTCCAATAAATTTGTATCCATGCGTCTTTTGGAAAACTATCCACGCGTGAGCAGTATATGCTCACTTAGAACTTATTCACCTTTAATTCTCGATTAACTTTTCTTAATCTGCTATTGTCCGTTCTTAATTTTCCCAGGATAATCATACTCTCGAATACAATATCACCTTGAAACACTCGTGTTCATTATTTCTCACTCAAACAATCCTCCGAAAATTGAAGTTGTTAACGGGATGTTTTAAAAGCATAACGAAGACATTATTCCATACGAATGGATTTAAAATGGTCGTAATAAATTATTTGGGAAAAACAGGTGGATTAATACTTAATTAAACCATTAATATTCGATAAAAATAAGAAATTTTTCGGGTCCTCACAATTAGACCTTGGTTTGTACATTTGCTTGATTAGACTAGGAAAAACCCCTTGGATATAGGATATGGACGAGTTTGGCTTTTCTAGTCTTAGCACGCTCGTATTTCTTCTATTAAAGGGAACATTGAAAGTCACGAGTATAAGTCCCCCGCACCCATTATGATGCATTCCTTTAGGTCGTATATATTTGTATATTATTATTTCTTTACTTTTTCTTTCTTTCGAGTCTCATGACTTTCATTATTCGTGACTTCTTCGAAGAATTTTATTGGGCGTCACAATTAATGTGAATTGGTACCAAGTAAGCTTTGAAGATACATTTCGACCCCCCGATACCCTCTTAGGTCTAGGGTTTGCATTCATATAGTACATCCAAATGTGATAAATCTTTAGATTAAAATAAGAAAATCTTTGACTAAATTGCGCAACTAGCCTTGGCTAGGTTGAAAGGGTGCCTTAGATTCTTATCCTTGCCTTCCCTTTCTTCAAATATGACTCCCGAATCTTTTTCTGATTTTCGTAGACTTGGAGTCGTTTAAAAAGGGTTTTCTACTTTTTTGTTTAAAAATTCATTTTTTGGTGACTTGGTACACCTTAACTCTATATCAAGTGGCGACTCCATTTTTCATTCAAAAAACCCTTTTTTAAACTATATTTTGGGTCAAATCGTCGCATTTCATGTCCCATTTAGACCCATGTTTTTCATTTTCTTTTTAAATCAAAAATTCATTTTCCAACCAAAAATTGGATCAAAAGCCATTTTTCTAAACTTGTCTTTTATTTTTATTATTTCAAAAAATGGGGCGCGACACCTCCCTTATTAGGGCCCATATCCACTGCACCCTTAGTCCATTTTCTTACTAGATTAGGGTTTTCACTTGTAGCCTATATAAGGCGCCATATTACATCAATAAAGCGTAGACACTTTTATCATAAAATATTTGAGAGAATTTTCTCCATAGTTTTCGAGCAACCCTTGAACAACATAGAATGATACTCTAGTGTTCTTGTTTGGCTTATCGATTCAAGAATCGCACTTGAATTGTGACACCTTCTACACTTGCCTGAGGTTCGCTAATTCGTTTGATTACAGGTTGAGATAATATCAACAAGTTCATTGTCACGGGGATTAGAGGGGTCGTAGGGTTTCCGCTGCTACCGTTTCTTGCGTTCAAAGTCAAATCCAAACAAGTGATCTTGGTCGCGAATCTTCTCACCAAAGAGATTCATATCAGCTGGCATCAGAGCTAGCTTGTTGGTAAAATCATTATCCCTCTTTTCATGCCTCAATTCGTATCTGTCTTGGTAGCGCAAAAAACAATTTTTTTTTGTGCACGTTACATTCTGGCCCGCGAGTTTCCTTTGTTTCCAAGTTTGGTCATCAGTGTTTGGTTCTGTTTTGTTGTCGCCTTCAATTTCTGGAATTCCTAGGAGTCACTTGTGTGGTGTTTGGGTCATTTGTGTGTTCCATCGTTGTTAACAAAAAAAAAAGAAGAAGAAAAAAAAACCAGCCTTGGTCCTTGAGTCGTGTGCGTGTCAATTCTGTTCAGCAGTCTTTAATTCCTTTCGTGGTTCTTGTTGAGCTGCTAGGGTTGTCGGTTGTCGTGGTGTCCATTTTGTGTTCCAGCCGTGCCTTGAGTTGTCGACGTTATTTTCTGGTTTGCGTACAAAAATATATATATACCGCACCTTTGCTTTATTCTTGAACTGATTGTCATGATTCTTGAACAAACCTACTGGACAATTGGTCCTTGAATCACAAAAAAAAAAAAAACAGAACGCGAATTTGAAGTTCTTGCACAAAGAAAGTCGGATCTCTTGAACCTTGGGCCAATTGGATTTTGATCTTAACAGAATCTTGGATTCTTACTCTACAAATCTCGAATTTGTGAATTCTTGAAGGATTCAACGTATTACCAGCTTGTTTCAAAAACAGTTTAAACAAAAAAAAAAGAGGAGAAAAAAAAGCAAGAAATCTGGGATACATAGCAATCCAAGGTATACTTTTTCCCAAGTGAGATTCGGATCTCCACTAACTCCCAAATCTGAGTACCTTCCAATTCCTTGTTGGACACTAAAGTGGGAACTTCGTGATTCCTAAAAATCTAACAACCAGATCCACCGCCCCTACCACAAACACAACCCAAACAGACTTCCTCAATCGACCAAGTCAGCTCTAGGAAACTCCCCAAACACACAAACCAAAGCTGCCAATTCCAAAACCGATACTATACCATTCCTTGTGCTGACCAGAAACCGACACTAGCACTCAAATTGTTCCAGTCAGCCTTATTGTGTTTTCAAGTGTCCAAGTAGGTTCTAGTTTCAGCTTTGAGTCGGTTAAGACAGGGGTAACCATTCCAAAAAAAAAAAAATTCCAGCAAAGCAAAAGGACCATTTTCCTTGTCGGTTAGAGTTTTTTTTTTTTTAGTGTCGTTCTTAATTTTTTTTCAGCTTTTGTGTCAATTCCTTTTCTAGTTTTTCGTTTTGAATATATTCTACCACTCCATTCTTAGTGTCCTAATTTTGTTTTCCAAGAAAATCTCTACTCTTACGAACCTCAAATTCTAGCGTGAACTTGTTTTTGGGCTACACTTGAGCACTTGAGGAATTCTACTTTCTTCAAGGTTTGCAAGGGTTGTGAGAAAATTTTGGTGAGCTCACTAGAGTGATCTGAGAGACCATATACGAGTGTGAGAGTATACACTTAGGGAGTGAAGTGAAAAAAAAAAGAGAGGCAAAACACAAACGTTACTTTTCTTTTCCTCTTTCTCTTTGCTACTAACCTTTGCAGGTACACTCGAGACTCCATGTCTAGTGGAAACGAAGGAGTATCCCGTCCCATGAACTTTGAATAGATGATGGAGCAAATGGAGAGGCGTTTCCAACGCATGCTAGAACCCATTCAAGATGAGTTGCTGCAAACTCCGAGCGTCTGGAACACCAGAAACCTCTAAGTCCATGCGAAGCGAAGGGACGTGGAGGAGTCGTCTGATGGTTCCAATAATGATGATGATGATGAGGAACCTCGAGTTCGACCAAAGTAAAGGAGCCAGACTAGACCTACCGATGTATTCAAGGGAATCAAGATGCAAATCCCTGAGTTCAAAGGACGGTCCGATCCGCGAGGCCTTTCTCGAATAGTTATCCAAGATCGAAATGGTCTTTTCTTCCAAAACTACACAAGATGCAAAAGGTGCAATTGGCCACCATGGAATTTACTGAGTACGCTGTAGTTTGGTAGGACCAAATCAAGAAGTCTAGAAGGAGAAATGGCCTACCTGATCTCGTTCCATGGCCCGAGCTTCGAGCCATGATGCTCACCCGCTTTGTACCTGGACATTACACTAGGGATTTGTACCACCGATTACAAACCTTAGTCCAAGGTAACCGATGTGTGGATGAGTACCACAAGGAGATGGAGATCCTAATGCTTAGAGCGGATGTACAGGAGGATCCTGAAGCCACCATAGCGAGATTCTTGAGCGGGTTACGACCCGATATTGCTGAACGAGTGGAACTTCAACATTATATGGAGTTGCATGAGCTTGTAGACAAGGCTATTAAGGTCGAGCAAAGGCTCAAGAGGAGGGGTACCACTCGATCGAATTTCGGCAATACCACCTACTCTACCAACCGCCCATTCCAACCAAGGAATGATTCTCGGCCTTCACCAAATGCTCATACTCCAAAGCCGAGATTCGAGGGAGGTAGGTGGGCAACCCTAGTTTTTAGTAAGCCGCCCTCTTCTACTCCAAAATTCGAGGAGCCTAGGGCACAAACTAGGGCTCGTGATACTCGATGCTTCAAATGTCAAGGTAGAGGCCATATTGCTAGTCAATGTCCCAATCAAAGGACTATGATTATGATGCAAGATGGCGAGATCGTGAGTGAGGACGAAGCCGAATACGAAGGCATGCCACCCCTTAAAGGAGGTAGTGATGGTGAGTCACCAAATGAAGAGGAGTTTAGTTCACCCGAGGGTCACTTTGGGACTGCCTTGGTTGCAAGTAGAGCATTGATGGCACATGTTAAGGAGGACGAGCTTCGGAGAACATCTTCTACACTAGGTGCTTCGTCAACCAAGCACTTTGTAGTGTGATTATTGATAGTGGGAGTTGTACAAATGTGGCTAGTTCACTCATGGTGGACAACTTGAAGCTGCCTACGAGGGATCACCCGCGACCCTACAAACTCCAATGGCTCAACAATTCCGGGGAGGTTCAAGTAACCAAACAGGTTCTTATATCATTTCAAATTCATAAATATACTGATGAAGTATTATATGATGTAGTTTCTATGCAGGCTAGTCACATTATACTAGGTAGGCTGTGGCAGTTTGACAGGCAGGTAACTTTTGATGGTGTGACTAACAAGTATAGTTTCTTGTACAATAGTAAGAAAGTCACCCTAGCTCCCCTTCCTCCAAAACAAGTGCATGAGAAATTGAAATTGCAATATAGTGCAAAAAAGAAAAAAAAATGAGAAAGCCGAGGCAAAAAAAGAGAGGAAAAAGGCTTTAGATAACTCAGCAAGTGAGGTAAAACCTGAGGGAAAACAAATGCTCCTGATAAAAGCCAAGAAAGTGAGGAAGTTAATGAGGGATGAGCAACCGCTTCTTATGCTTGTTAGCAAAGTAGCTCAGAATGTGCATGACCTTGATACTTACTTACCGCTTGAGGTTAAGTCTCTTTTGCAGGAATATGCTGATATCTTTCCTGATGACGTACCAAGTGGATTACCACCGCTTAGAGGCATTGAGCACCAAATAGACTTCGTCCCTGGAGCTTCGTTGCCAAATCGCCCAGCTTACAAAGCAACCCGGAGGAAACTAAGGAGTTGCAAAGGCAAGTGGACGACTTGCTTGGCAAAGGATAGGCACGTGTGAGCTTAAGCCCGTGCGCTGTCCCAGTCATTTTGGTGCCCAAGAAAGATGGTACGTGGAGAATGTGCACTGATTGTAGAGCCGTAAATGCCATCACGGTAAAGTATCGCCACCCTATACCTCGCTTAGATGACATGCTTGATGAGTTACATGGGGCTGTGTTCTTTACCAAAATTGATCTCAAAAGTGGGTACCATCAAATTAGGATAAAGGAGGGGGACGAATGGAAAACTGCCTTCAAAACTAAGTATGGATTGTATATGAGTGGTTAGTGATGCCTTTTGGGCTAACTAATGCACCTAGCACCTTCATGAGGTTAATGAACCATGTTCTACGTCCATTCTTAGGGAAATTCGTGGTAGTTTACTTTGACGATATCCTAATTTATAGCAAATCTTATGATGAACACCTAGAGCATATTAGGGTTGTTATGGATGTACTTCGATGAGAGAAGCTCTATGCCAATCTCAAGAAGTGCAATTTTTACACTAATGAGCTTGTGTTTCTAGGGTTTGTTATAAGTGCGCAGGGAATGAAGGTGGATGACCAAAAGGTGAAAGCTATCCAAGAGTGGCCAACACCAAGATCGGTGGGTGATGTTCGGAGCTTCCATGGACTTGCGGGTTTCTATAGGAGATTCGTGAGGGACTTTAGTACCATTGCTGCACCCTTGACCGAGTTGATCAAGAAGAATGAGAACTTCCATTGGGGAGATTCTCAAGAACAAGCCTTTCGCGCTTTAAAGTACAAATTCACACATGCACCTGTACTTGCTTTACCTGGCTTTTCTAAGACATTTGAAATTGATTGTGATGCTTCAGGTATTGGAGTTGGAGCTGTGTTGAACCAAGGAGGAAGACCTATTGCCTACTTTAGTGAGAAACTCAATGGGGCTGCACTGAACTACTCAACTTATGATAAAGAGTTGTACGCCCTCATTCGAGCACTACAAGTTTGGCAGCACTACTTAAGGCCTAAGGAATTCATGATACACACTGATCATGAGTCCCTTAAATACCTTAAGGCCCAACACACCTTGAGCAAAAAACATGCAAGGTGGATCGCATTCGTGGAGTCCTTTCCGTACGTGATTAAATACAAGGCTAGTAGGTCTAATGTGGTTGCGGATGCACTCTCACGAAGGTACTCTCTACTCACTTCCTTAGATGCTAAGTTGTTAGGGTTTGAGCTAATTAAAGACATCTATGCATAAGATAGTGATTTCGGTGAACTTTACCTTTCTTGCAAACACACTGGGCAAGGTAAATTCTTCATTTCCGATGGTTACTTGTTTTATGCCAATCGGCTTTGCATCCCACATGGATCTATCCGCGAACTTTTGGTACGAGAATCCTATTTGGGTGGCCTTATGGGACATTTTGGGGTTGATAAGACTCTTGCCATGCTGCAGGAGCACTTCTATTGGCCGCACATGAGAAGAGATGTTGCACGGGTGGTGGAGCGATGCTTAGCTTGTAAGAAAGCTAAATCCAAGGTACACCCGTATGGCCTTTACACCCCGTTACCTATTTCTAGTGCACCATGGGTATGGATTTTATACTTGGTTTGCCTAGATCCAAGTATGGCCATGACTCCATTTATGTGGTTGTTGATAGATTCTCTAAAATGGCACACTTCATTGCTTGTCATAAAACGGATGATGCATCTCATTTTGCTAATTTGTTCTTTAAAGAGATTGTGAGATTGCATGGCATTCCTAGGACCATTGTGTCTGATAGAGATGTTAAATTCCTGAGCTATTTTTGGAAGACACTCTGGTCTAAGTTAGGCACCAAATTGCTATTCTCTACTGCTAGCCACCCCCAAACTACTGGTCAAACCGAGGTGGTAAATTGTACATTAGGTACCTTGTTGCGTGCCATCATAAAAAAGAACTTGAAATCTTGGGAAGAATGTTTACCTCATGTTGAGTTTGCTTATAATTGGGCTATCCATTCTACTACTGGTTTCTCTCCATTTGAATGTGTTTACGGTTTTAATCCGCTAACACCACTTGATCTAGTGCCATTACCTAGTAATGAGCGTGCACATTTGGATGGTAAGAAACGTGCAAAGTTTGTTAAGCAACTACATGAGAAAGTCAGGGCTAGCATTGAGAGGAGAACTGCTCAATATGTCAAGCAAGCTAACAAAGGTCGCCAAAAGTTGATTTTTGAGCCTGGCGATTGGGTGTGGTTGCACATGCCCAAAGAACGCTTTCCTGTCCAAAGGAGGAATAAATTACAACCACGGGGTGATGGACCTTTTCAAGTGTTGGAGCGCATCAATGACAACGCCTACAAACTTGACCTTCCTGGTGAGTATGGAGTTAGTGCTACATTTAATGTCTCTGACTTAGCTCCTTTTGATGCAGATGATGCGTTTGATTTGAGAGCAAATCCTTCTCAAGAGGAGGGGAATGATAGCATCATGGTACGTGGGCAGGCCAACAATGGCTCGAGTAATCGAGGAGCTGAGGATCACGTGCACGCCCCAAGTGGACCCATTACTAGGGCTCACGCAAAGAAACTTCGTGAGCAACTCAATGTACTTATTCAGGCCATACACAAGTCTTTTGAAGGATTCATACACTCAAGTGAAGGTGGTCGCGGTCCGATAATGAGCATTGAAACTACACCTGAGGATTAGGGTTTTTGCCAAACCCTAATTTCCATTTTAGCATGATAGTTAGTTATTTCCACATTAGTTGATTAGATTGAATAATTGGCTAAGTGCATATTGCACATAGAATCGCCAAGGGTAGGATTGCTAATTTACTCATTATTATTTGCTAGAGTGGGCTGCCTAGGAAAGAAAGCCCACGTGAGGCCCAACCCGTCGGGGTTAAGCCTCCCTTATTAGGGCCCATATCCACTGCGCCCTTAGTCCATTTTCTTACTAGATTAGGGTTTTCACTTGTAGCCTATATAAGGCACCATATTACATCAATAAAGGGTAGACACTTTTATCATAAAATATTTGAGAGAATTTTCTCCATAGTTTTCGAGCAACCTTGAACAACATAGAGTGATACACTAGTGTTCTTGTTTGGCTTATCGATTCAAGAATCGCACTTGAATTGTGGCACCTTCTACACTTGCCTGAGGTTCGCTAATTCGTTTGATTACGGGTTGAGATAATATCAACAAGTTCATAGTCACGGGGATTAGAGGGGTCGTAGGGTTTCCGCTGCTACCGTTTCTTGCGTTCGAAGTCAAATCCAACAAGTGATCTTGGGTCGCGAATCTTCTCACCAATGAGATTCATATCAATTTAGGGAGAGACTTCTCCTTATTTTGTCTTTTATTATTGGCTATGTACCTTTAAGTTTAAATTTGACTCGTATTGAGTCCTGGCAAGAACTAGGCAGGCGTTTCACGAATACCCTTGGGTTCGCCTTCGGAGAAGTGGGGGCACAGTCACACCATTTATCCAAGAATTCTAACTTAATTTATAACCCAAAAGTGTAACATAGGGTACATTGCCAAAAATCTCAAATACATTTCATCTACAAAAGTACAAGTACATGATATTATATGCACTAGTTCATGCTTACTTTCTTCGGCCTCCACTCCTGTTAAAGGAACTAAAGGAATGAGCTAAAAGACCAGTGAGGTTCCCAAATAAGCAATCAGGTAAAAAAACCATGAAAGCATTGTATTGGCATTTAATAGTTTGCACACTTTGCGTAGTAATAAACAGTCATTCAAGAAATAAACATTCAATCATTGGAAGGATACGTGGTCACTTGAGTTTTTGAAAATCATATCTTACAGCTACGTAGGTCCAAAATTGGAAACTTGGTACCATTGAAAACTAGTTCCAAAGTACTAAAAGTTCTTAAGAAGATACTTTTCTAAAGATTCTAAATGGAGGGCAACTCAATTTCTGCTTAAACTGCTGACTTACACTTCCACGACAGATTCAGGTTTGGTTTTTGGTAAACTTTGAAATTTGAAAAAATTCACAGAATGTGAACTAGTCTTTGAATTTGTACCTCAAGTAAAATTCCAAATCAAGGTTCGAAACACAATAAGTGGAACTTAAATCGGAGTTTCAAGTATCAAGATATAGCAGTCCAAAGTTAGCTAAAAATTAATGACAGATTGCACATTTTCCAAGATTTGGAAAACGACTTTGGACCATCATTTGGGTATCGAAATGGTCTTGGATTGAAACCAAAATTGGTACAAATCAACTTCCATATGATAACTACTACTCTACCAAATTTCATTTGAAAATTCACAAGGAATGTAGTTAACTAAACTACCAAAGTTCAAGAAAATCCAAGACCAATCTGTCTTTTGCTTTCTTTGTCTCTTTCAACATCTTACCCCAATGAAAACGATTCAAATCTGGCTAATTTATGAAACAATGGTCTAAGAAACATCCAATATACATTTGGTAGGTGATTGACAGACACCAAAAGTTTCAAAATAACAGTCCCATTCGAGCTAAGCCATTTGGCCAGCCAAAATTAGGGTTTCCTACGGCACTGGTGCCATTTTGTAATTTGGCCACAACTCACTCAATTCAACTTGGAATTGAGCATGGGTTGGTGGCATTGGAAAATAAATTCATAAGGCTACATTTCCTCAGAAGAAAATGTTTTGAAATTTAGTTCATAGCTAGCTCAAATTCAAGCAACAATCTCAGCTCATCACTGACAACGAGCAAAGCAATAAAAACAGAACAGGTAACTTTGGTGAAGAACTACGGCTCACTCACTTGGAATCAGGGAATGCATTTTATAACCGTTAGAAAACTACGGATGTCTAGTTTCAAATGCCCACTAACGGCACTTGATTTTGACATCGAAGCAAAGAGTTATGATCATTCAAAGTTTACTTCTAGAGAGCCCCTGTTACCCCCGTTTTCCAGATTTGAAGATTTTCGAAATACAAAATTTTACCCAGCCAAATCAAGTGATTTTTGGTGAAACATTTCCACACAACGTATATAACATATATACATTAAATTCAAGGGTCATTTGATCACAAAAAAAATTGAACCAAGGGCTCGGCAAAATAGGCAGAATTTGGCCCTCTCCTCTATGCAACTTCCCTTTGGTTTTCCTTTCACTTTTCCAACTTATATCCACTTGTTTAGCACATAATCAATATAAATAGCACCTATAAACATCATATCAGTCCAACATGTCCATTGTGGGATTTTATAGACCCCACTCCAATCATTTTTAACCAAAATAACAACACCCACATGAAGCAACAAGCTCCAAGGCCAAATTTAACTCACTAAAACCAAGTTTAAAGGGTTGGATGATTACTACCTCTTAGATGATGAAAAACCAGAAATTTTGGGTCAAAAAAAGCTCCAAGTAACTGTGAGAAAGGTGCTTCCTTCCTAGTCCAAGTGAATCTCCAAGTGAAGTGGAAGTTGTGTGGTGAATTTGGAGTGAAATGGGTGGAAGATTTGAAGTAAAATAGAGACGAACTTTGCTCCTTCTTTACCTTGAGAATTTCGGCCAGCTTGAGAGGAAGGAGAGAGAGAGTATGGCTGATGGTGAAGCTTCTCTTGGAAGCTTGGAAGTTGGTGGCTTTAATTTGCACAAAAGTCAACTTTGAATAGTGCGCGTACGCGCGCGTTTCGTGCCCATTTTCTCTCGAGTTTGTATTACTTGTGCACTAAACCTTTAATATACTTCCTTTAACACTAATATTATTAACTCTTAGTAGTCTATCAATAATTTCTAAACTTCTTCAATTAGTCACGCGCGTGAAAAAGCGAACTTCGGACTCGCGTGCGATAAAAGCGCAATTTCTAAGAAATTCTTGTAATGATGATATAACTAACTAATACTTGGGTAAACAATCATGAAAATAACTATTTGAGAAATAAAAAATACGAGTCCTCACATGAGTCTAATATTAATTCCTCAAATCACCAATTAATTTGTACCAGTGCGTCTTTCAGAAAACTTTTGACGCGCACGCAGTATAAGCTTAATTTAACGTACTGACATCTAATCTCTCAATTAACTTTTCTTAATTTACTATTAATCATTCTTAATTCTCCAAAATTTATTACATTCTCGATTCAAATATAGCCTCAAAAAACGTGTACTCGTTATTCCTCACTTAAACGAGCCACCGAAAAATTGAATTTGCTAACAGAATGTTTTAAAAACATAAGGGAGGCATCGTTCCATACAAATAGATTTAAAATAGTTGAAATAAATTATTCGGAGAAAATAGGTGAATAAATATTTAAATAAACCAATAATATTCGATAAAATAAGAAAATTTTCAGGTCCTCACATCCTTCCCTGCTTAAAAGAATTTCGCCCTCGAAATTCACCCTGGGACAATATCATTCCCTTAATGGTTAAGCCTATTAAATCAATAACTAACTTACGTTTTCCAACCCATACTTCACAATTTCTATTCATCCCACTAGCAACCAAACCTTGAGTTTT